TCCCTCCGCACTCAGATCCCTCTGCACTCAGATCCCTCTGCACTCAGATCCCTCTGCACTCAGATCCCTCTTCACTCAGATTCCTCCGCACTCAGATCCCTCGGCACTCAGATCCCTCCGCACTCAGATCCCTCCGCACTCAGATCCCTCCGCACTCAGATCCCTCTGCACTCAGATCCCTCTGCACTCAGATTCCTTTGCACTCAGATTCCTCCGCACTCAGATCCCTCTGCACTCAGATCCCTCTGCACTCAGATCCCTCTGCACTCAGATCCCTCCGCACTCAGATCCCTTTGCACTCAGATCCCTCCGCACTCAGATCCTCTGCACTCAGATCCCTCTGCACTCAGATCCCTCTGCACTCAGATCCCTCTGCACTCAGATCCTCTGCACTCAGATTCCTCCGCACTCAGATCCCTCTGCACTCAGATCCCTCTGCACTCAGATCCCTCCGCACTCAGATCCCTCCGCACTCAGATCCCTCGCACTCAGATCCCTCGCACTCAGATCCCTCTGCACTCAGATTCCTCCAAACTCAGATCCCTCCGCACTCAGATCCCTCTGCACTCAGATCCCTCTGCACTCAGATCCTCCGCACTCAGATCCCTCCGCACTCAGATCCCTCCGCACTCAGATCCCTCCACTCAGATCCCTCTGCACTCAGATCCTCGCACTCAGATCCCTCCGCACTCAGATCCTCCGCACTCAGATCCCTCTGCACTCAGATCCCTCCGCACTCAGATCCCTCTGCACTCAGATTCCTCCGCACTCAGATCCCTCCGCACTCAGATCCCCTGCACTCAGATCCCTCTGCACTCAGATCCCTCTGCACTCAGATCCCTCTCCACTCAGATCCGTCTGCACTCAGATTCCTCCGCACTCAGATCCCTCCGCACTCAGATCCCTCCGCACTCAGATCCCTCCGCACTCAGATCCCTCCGCACTCAGATCCCTCCGCACTCAGATCCCTCTGCACTCAGATCCCTCGCACACAGATCCCTCTGCACTCAGATCCCTCCGCACTCAGATCCCTCCGCACTCAGATCCCTCTGCACTCAGATCCCTCCGCACTCAGATCCCTCCGCACTCAGATCCCTCCGCACTCAGATCCCTCCGCACTCAGATCCCTCTGCACTCAGATCCCTCTGCACTCAGATTCCTCCGCACTCAGATCCCTCTGCACTCAGATCCCTCCGCACTCAGATCCCTCTGCACTCAGATCCCTCTGCACTCAGATTCCTCCGCACTCAGATCCCTCCGCACTCAGATCCCTCTGCACTCAGATCCTTCTGCACTCAGATTCCTCTGCACTCAGATCCCTCCGCACTCAGATCCCTCCGCACTCAGATCCCTCCCACTCAGATCCGTCTGCATTCAGATTCCTCCGCACTCAGATCCCTCCGCACTCAGATCCCTCCGCACTCAGATCCCTCTGCACTCAGATCCCTCGCACTCAGATCCCAACGCACTCAGATTCCTCCGCACCAGATCCCTCGCACTCAGATCCTCCGCACTCAGATCCTCCGCACTCAGATCCCTCTGCACTCAGATCCCTCCGCACTCAGATCCCTCCGCACTCAGATCCCTCCGCACTCAGATCCCTCCGCACTCAGATCCCTCCGCACTCAGATCCCTCTGCACTCAGATTCCTCCGCACTCAGATCCCTCCGCACTCAGATCCCTCCGCACTCAGATCCCTCCGCACTCAGATCCCTCTGCACTCAGATCCCTCCGCACTCAGATCCCTCTGCACTCAGATCCCTCCGCACTCAGATTCCTCTGCACTCAGATCCTCTGCACTCAGATCCCTCCGCACTCAGATCCCTCTGCACTCAGATTCTCCGCACTCAGATCCCTCCGCACTCAGATCCCTCCGCACTCAGATCCCTCCGCACTCAGATCCCTCCGCACTCAGATCCCTCCGCACTCAGATCCCTCCGCACTCAGATCCCTCCGCACTCAGATCCCTCTGCACTCAGATCCCTCCGCACTCAGATCCCTCCGCACTCAGATCCCTCCGCACTCAGATCCCTCCGCACTCAGATCCCTCGAACTCAGATCCCTCCGCACTCAGATCCCTCCGCACTCAGATCCCTCCGCACTCAGATCCCTCCGCACTCAGATTCCTCTGCACTCAGATCCCTCTGCACTCAGATCCCTCTGCACTCAGAATCCTCCGCACTCAGATCCCTCCGCACTCAGATCCCTCTGCACTCAGATCCCTCCGCACTCAGATCCCTCTGCACTCAGATCCCTCCGCACTCAGATCCCTCCGCACTCAGATCCCTCTGCACTCAGATCCCTCTGCACTCAGATCCCTCCGCACTCAGATCCCTCCGCACTCAGATCCCTCCGCACTCAGATCCCTCCGCACTCAGATCCCTCCGCACTCAGATCCCTCTGCACTCAGATCCTCTGCACTCAGATCCCTCTGCACTCAGATCCCTCTGCACTCAGATCCTCCGCACTCAGATCCCTCTGCACTCAGATTCCTCCGCACTCAGATCCCTCCGCACTCAGATCCCTCTGCACTCAGATTCCTCCGCACTCAGATCCCTCCGCACTCAGATCCCTCTGCACTCAGATCCTCTCCACTCAGATTCCTCCGCACTCAGATCCCTCGGCACTCAGATCCCTCCGCACTCAGATCCCTCCGCACTCAGATCCCTCTGCACTCAGATCCCTCTGCACTCAGATCCTCCGCACTCAGATCCCTCTACACTCAGATCCCTCCGCACTCAGATCCTCCGCACTCAGATCCTCCGCACTCAGATCCCTCTGCACTCAGATCCCTCTGCACTCAGATCCCTCCGCACTCAGATCCCTCTGCACTCAGATCCCTCTGCACTCAGATCCCTCTGCACTCAGATCCTCTGCACTCAGATTCCTCCCACTCAGATCCCTCCGCACTCAGATCCCTCCGCACTCAGATCCCCCGCACTCAGATCCTCCGCACTCAGATCTCTCTGCACTCAGATCCCTCGCACTCAGATCCCTCCGCACTCAGACCCTCCGCACTCAGATCCCTCCGCACTCAGATTCTCCGCACTCAGATCCCTCCGCACTCAGATCCCTCCGCACTCAGATCCCTCCGCACTCAGATCCCTCTGCACTCAGATCCCTCCGCACTCAGATCCCTCCGCACTCAGATCCCTCTGCACTCAGATCCCTCTGCACTCAGATTCCTCTGCACTCAGATCCCTCTGCACTCAGATCCCTCTGCACTCAGATCCTCCGCACTCAGATCCCTCAGCACTCAGATCCCTCCTGCACTCAGATTCTCCGCACTCAGATCCCTCCGCACTCAGATCCCTCCGCACTCAGATCCCTCTGCACTCAGATCCCTCTGCACTCAGATTCCTCCGCACTCAGATCCCTCCGCACTCAGATCCCTCTGCACTCAGATCCCTCTGCACTCAGATCCTCCGCACTCAGATCCCTCCTCACTCAGATCCCTCCGCACTCAAATCCCTCCCACTCAGATCCCTCTGCACTCAGATTCCTCCGCACTCAGATCCCTCCGCACTCAGATCCCTCCGCACTCAGATCCCTCTGCACTCAGATCCCTCTGCACTCAGATTTCTCTGCACTCAGATTCCTCCGCACTCAGATCCCTCTGCACTCAGATCCCTCCGCACTCAGATCCCTCTGCACTCAGATCCTCCGCACTCAGATTCCTCCGCACTCAGATCCCTCCGCACTCAGATCCCTCTGCACTCAGATCCCTCCGCACTCAGATCCCTCCGCACTCAGATCCCTCTGCACTCAGATCCCTCTGCACTCAGATTCCTCCGCACTCAGATCCCTCTGCACTCAGATCCCTCTGCACTCAGATCCCTCTGCACTCAGATCCCTCTGCACTCAGATCCTCCGCACTCAGATCCCTCCGCACTCAGATCCCTCCGCACTCAGAATCCTCCGCACTCAGATCCCTCTGCATTCAGATCCCTCCGCACTCAGATCCCTCTGCACTCAGATCCCTCCGCACTCAGATCCTCCGCACTCAGATCCCTCCGCACACATCCCTCCGCACTCAGATCCCTCTGCACTCAGATCCCTCGCACTCAGATCCCTCCGCACTCAGATCCCTCCGCACTCAGATCCCTCTGCACTCAGATCCCTCTGCACTCAGATTTCTCTGCACTCAGATTCCTCCGCACTCAGATCCCTTTGCACTCAGATCCCTTTGCACTCAGATCCCTCTGCACTCAGATTCCTCCGCACTCAGATCCCTCCGCACTCAGATCCCTCTGCACTCAGATCCTCTGCACTCAGATCCCTCTGCACTCAGATCCCTTTGCACTCAGATCCCTCTGCACTCAGATCCCTCTGCACTCAGATTCCTCTGCACTCAGATCCCTACGCACTCAGATCCCTCCGCACTCAGATCCCTCTGCACTCAGATCTCTTTGCACTCAGATTCCTCCGCACTCAGATCCCTCCGCACTAAGATCCCTCTGCACTCAGATCCCTCTGCACTCAGATTCCTCCGCACTCAGATCCCTCCGCACTCAGATCCCTCCGCACTCAGATCCCTTGCACTCAGATCCCTCTACACTCAGATTACTCCGCACTCAGATCCCTCTGCACTCAGATCCCTCCGCACTCAGATCCCTCTGCACTCAGATCCCTCTGCACTCAGATTTCTCTGCACTCAGATTCCTCCGCACTCAGATCCCTCGCACTCAGATCCCTCTGCACTCAGATCCCTCTGCACTCAGATCCCTCCGCACTCAGATTCCTCCGCACTCAGATCCCTCGCACTCAGATCCCTCTGCACTCAGATCCTCCGCACTCAGATCCCTCCGCACTCAGATCCCTCCGCACTCAGACCCTCTGCACTCAGATCCCTCTGCACTCAGATCCCTCCGCACTCAGATCCCTCTGCACTCAGATCCCTCTGCACTCAGATTCCTCCGCACTCAGATCCCTCGCACTCAGATCCCTCTCACTCAGATCCCTCTGCACTCAGATCCCTCTGCACTCAGATTCCTCCGCACTCAGATCCCTCCGCACTCAGATCCCTCTGCACTCAGAATCCTCCGCACTCAGATCCCTCTGCACTCAGATCCCTCTGCACTCAGATCCCTCTGCACTCAGATCCCTCCGCACACAGATCCCTCCGCACTCAGATCCCTCCGCACACAGTTCACTCCGCACTCAGATCCCTCTGCACTCAGATCCCTCTGCACTCAGATTCCTCCGCACTCAGATCCCTCTGCACTCAGATCCCTCTGCACTCAGATTCCTCCGCACTCAGATCCCTCCGCACTCAGATCCCTCCGCACTCAGATCCCTCCGCACTCAGATCCCTCCGCACTCAGATCCCTCTGCACTCAGATTCCTCCGCACTCAGATCCCTCCGCACTCAGATCCCTCTGCACTCAGATTCCTCGCACTCAGATCCTCCGCACTCAGATCCCTCTGCACTCAGATCCCTCTGCACTCAGATTCCTCCGCACTCAGATCCCTCCGCACTCATATCCCTCTGCACTCAGATCCCTCTGCACTCAGATTCCTCCGCACTCAGATCCCTCTGCACTCAGATCCCTCTGCACTCAGATTCCTCCGCACTCAGATCCTTCCGCACTCAGATCCCTCCGCACTCAAATCCCTCTGCACTCAGATCCCTCTGCACTCAGATCCCTCCGCACTCAGATCCCTCCGCACTCAGATCCCTCCGCACTCAGATCCCTCCGCACTCAGATCCCTCTGCACTCAGATCCCTCTGCACTCAGATCCTCCGCACTCAGATCCCTCTGCACTCAGATCCCTCTGCACTCAGATTCCTCCGCACTCAGATCCCTCCGCACTCAGATCCCTCCGCACTCAGATCCCTCCGCACTCAGATCCCTCTGCACTCAGATTCCTCCGCACTCAGATCCCTCCGCACTCAGATCCCTCGGCACTCAGATCCCTCACACTCAGATCCCTCTGCACTCAGATCCTCCGCACTCAGATCCTCTGCACTCAGATCCCTCTGCACTCAGATCCTCTGCACTCAGATCCCTCTGCACTCAGATCCTTTGCACTCAGATCCCTCGCACTCAGATCCCTCTGCACTCAGATTCCTCCGCACTCAGATCCCTCTGCACTCAGATCCCTCTGCACTCAGATCCCTCCGCACTCAGATTCCTCCGCACTCAGATCCCTCCGCACTCAGATCCCTCTGCACTCAGATCCTCTGCACTCAGATCCCTCCGCACTCAGATCCCTCTGCACTCAGATCCCTCTGCACTCAGATCCCTCCGCACTCAAATCCCTCCGCACTCAGATCCCTCCGCACTCAGATCCCTCCACACTCAAATCCCTCTGCACTCAGATTCCTCCGCACTCAGATCCCTCCGCACTCAGATCCCTCCGCACTCAGATCCCTCCGCACTCAGATCCCTCTGCACTCAGATCCCTCCGCACTCAGATCCCTCTGCACTCAGATCCCTCCGCACTCAGATCCCTCCTCACTCAGATTCCTACGCACTCAGATCCCTTTGCACTCAGATCCCTCTGCACTCAGATCCCTCTCCACTCAGATTCCTCCACACTCAGATCCCTCCGCACTCAGATCCCTCGGCACTCAGATCCCTCCGCACTCAGATCCCTCCGCACTCAGATCCCTCTGCACTCAGATCCCTCTGCACTCAGATTTCTCTGCACTCAGATTCCTCTGCACTCAGATCCCTTGCACTCAGATCCCTCTGCACTCAGATCCCTCTTGACTCAGATTCCTCCGCACTCAGATCCCTCTGCACTAAGATCCCTCTGCACTCAGATTCCTCTGCACTCAGATCCCTCTGCACTCAGATCCCTCTGCACTCAGATTCCTCCGCACTCAGATCCCTCTGCACTCAGATCCCTCTGCACTCAGATCCCTCCGCACTCAGATTCCTCCACACTCAGATCCCTCCGCACTCAGATCCCTCTGCACTCAGATCCCTCTGCACTCAGATCCCTCCGCACTCAGATCCCTCTGCACTCAGATCCCTCTGCACTCAGATCCCTCCGCACTCAATCCCTCCGCACTCAGATCCCTCCGCACTCAGATCCCTCCGCACTCAGATCCCTCTGCACTCAGATTCTCCGCACTCAGATCCCTCCGCACTCAGATCCCTCCGCACTCAGATCCCTCCGCACTCAGATCCCTCTGCACTCAGATCCCTCCGCACTCAGATCCCTCTGCACTCAGATCCCTCCGCACTCAGATCCCTCCTCACTCAGATTCCTCCGCACTCAGATCCCACTGCACTCAGATCCCTCTGCACTCAGATTCCTCTCCACTCAGATTCCTCCACACTCAGATCCCTCGGCACTCAGATCCCTCGGCACTCAGATCCCTCCGCACTCAGATCCCTCCGCACTCAGATACCTCTGCACTCAGATCCCTCTGCACTCAGATTTCTCTGCACTCAGATTCCTCCGCACTCAGATCCCTTTGCACTCAGATCCCTCTGCACTCAGATCCCTCTTCACTCAGATTCCTCCGCACTCAGATCCCTCTGCACTCAGATCCCTCTGCACTCAGATCCTCTGCACTCAGATCCCTCTGCACTCAGATCCCTTTGCACTCAGATCCCTCTGCACTCAGGTCCCTCTGCACTCAGATTCCTCCGCACTCAGATCCCTCCGCACTCAGATCCCTTCGCACTCAGATTCCTCCGCACTCAGATCCCCCCGCACTCAGATCCCTCTGCACTCAGATCTCTCTGCACTCAGATCCCTCCGCACTCAGATCCCTCCGCACTCAGATCCCTCTAAACTCAGATCCCTCCGCACTCAAATCCCTCCGCACTCAGATCCCTCCGCACTCAGATCCCTCCGCACTCAAATCCCTCTGCACTCAGATCCCTTCGCACTCAGATCCCTCTGCACTCAGATCCCTCCGCACTCAGATCCCTCCGCACTCAGATTCCTCCGCACTCAGATCCCTCCGCACTCAGATCCCTCCGCACTCAGATCCCTCCACACTCAGATCCCTCTGCACTCAGATCCCTCCACACTCAGATCCCTCTGCACTCAGATCCCTCCGCACTCAGATCCCTCCGCACTCAGATTCCTCCCCACTCAGATCCCTCCGCACTCAGATCCCTCCGCACTCAGATCCCTCTGCACTCAGATCCCTCTGCACTCAGATCTCTCCGCACTCAGATCCCTCCGCACTCAGATCCCTCCGCACTCAGATCCCTCTGCAATCAGATCCCTCCGCACTCAGATCCCTCCTCACTCAGATCCTCCCACTCAGATCCCTCCGCACTCAGATCCCTCCGCACTCAGATCCTCTGCACTCAGATCCCTCTGCACTCAGATCTCTCCGCACTCAGATCCCTCCGCACTCAGATCCCTCCGCACTCAGATCCCTCCGCACTCAGATCCCTCTGCACTCAGATTCCTCCGCACACAGATCCCTCGCACTCAGATCCCTCCGCACTCAGATCCCTCCGCACTCAGATCCCTCTTCACTCAGATCCCTCCGCACTCAGATCCCTCCGCACTCAGATCCCTCCGCACTCAGATCACTCTGCACTCAGATCCCTCTGCACTCAGATTCCTCCGCACTCAGATCCCTCCGTACTCAGATCCCTCCGCACTCAGATCCCTCCGCACTCAGATCCCTCCGTACTCAGAATCCCCCGCACTCAGATCCCTCCGCACTCAGATACCTCCACACTCAGATCCCTCCGCACTCAGATCCCTCCGCACTCAGATCCCTCCGCACTCAGATCCCTCTGCACTCAGATCTCTCTGCACTCAGATCCCTCCGCACTCAGATCCCTCGCACTCAGATCCTCCGCACTCAGATTCCCCGCACTCAGATCCCTCCGCACTCAGATCCCTCTGCACTCAGATCCCTCTGAACTCAGATCCCTCCGCACACAGATCCCTCCGCACTCAGATCCCTCCGCACTCAGATCACTCCGCACTCAGATCCCTCCGCACTCAGATCCCTCCGCACTCAGATCCCTCCGCACTCAGATCCCTCCGCACTCAGATCCTCCGCACTCAGATCCCTCCGCACTCAGATTCCTCCGCACTCAGATCCCTCGCACTCAGATCCCTCTGCACTCAGATCCCTCCGCACTCAGATCCCTCTGCACTCAGATCCCTCCGCACTCAGATCCCTCCGCACTCAGATCCCTCCGCACTCAGATCCCTCCACACTCAGATCCCTCCGCACTCAGATTCCTCCGCACTCAAATCCCTCTGCACTCAGATTCCTCCGCACTCAGATTCCTCCGCACTCAGATTCCTCCGCACTCAGATTCCTCCGCATTCAGATCCCTCCGCACTCAGATCCCTCCGCACTCAGATCCCTCCGCACTCAGATTCCTCCGCACTCAGATCCCCCCGCACTCAGATCCCTCTGCACCCAGATCTCTCTGCACTCAGATCCCTCTGCACTCAGATCCCTCCGCACTCAGATCCCTTCGCACTCAGATCCCTCCGCACTCAGATCCCTCCGCACTCAGATCCCTCCGCACTCAGATCCCTACGCACTCAGATCCCTCCGCACTCAGATCCCTCCGCACTCAAATCCCTCTGCACTCAGATCCCTCCGCACTCAGATCCCTCCTCACTCAGATTCTCCGCACTCAGATCCCTCCGCACTCAGATCCCTCCGCACTCAGATCCCTTTGCACTCAGATCCCTCTGCACTCAGATTCCTCCGCACTCAGATCCCTCCGCACTCAGATTCCTCCGCACTCAGATTCCTCCGACTCAGATCCCCCCGCACTCAGATCCCTCTGCACTCAGATCTCTCTTTACTCAGATCCCTCCGCACTCAGATCCCTCCGCACTCAGATCCCTCCGCACTCAGATTCCTCCGCACTCAGATCCCTCCGCACTCAGATCCCTCCACACTCAAATCCCTCTGCACTCAGATCCCTCCGCACTCAGATCCCTCTGCACTCAGATCCCTCCGCACTCAGATCCCTCCTCACTCAGATTCCTCCGCACTCAGATCCCTCCGCACTCAGATCCCTTCGCACTCAGATCCCTCCGCACTCAGATCCCTCCGCACTCAGATCCCTCCGCACAAAGATCCCTCCGCACTCAGATCCCTCGCACTCAGATCCCTCCGCACTCAGATCCCTCTGCACTCAGATCCTCCGCACTCAGATCCCTCCGCACTCAGATCCCTCCGCACTCAGATCCCTCTGCACTCAGATCCTCCGCACTCAGATTCCTCCGCACTCAGATCCCTCCGCACTCAGATCCCTCCGCACTCAGATCCCTCCGCACTCAGAATCCCTCTGCACTCAGATCCTCCGCACTCAGATTCCTCCGCACTCAGATCCTTCGCACTCAGATCCCTCCGCACTCAGATTCCTCCGCACTCAGATCCCTCTGCACTCAGATCCCTCCGCACTCAGATCCCTCCGCACTCAGATCCCTCCACACTCAGATCCCTCCGCACTCAGATCCCTCCGCACTCAGATCCCTCTGCACTCAGATCCCTCCGCACTCAGATTCCTCCGCACTCAGATCCCTCCGCACTCAGATCCCTCCGCACTCAGATCCCCCCGCACTCAAATCCCTCTGCACTCAGATTCCTCCGCACTCAGATTCCTCCGCACTCAGATCCTTCTGCACTCAGATCCCTCCGCACTCAGATTCCTCCGCACTCAGATCCCTCTGCACTCAGATCCCTCTGCACTCAGATCCTTCTGCACTCAGATTCCTCCGCACTCAGATCCCTCTGCACTCAGATCCCTCCGCACTCAGATTCCTCCTCATTCAGATCCCTCCGCACTCAGATCCCTCTGCACTCAGATCCCTCTGCACTCAGATCCCTCCGCACTCAGATCCCTCTGCACTCAGATCCCTCCGCACTCAGATCCCTCCGCACTCAGATCCCTCTGCACTCAGATCCCTCTGCACTCAGATCCCTCTGCACTCAGATCCCTCTGCACTCAGATTCCTCCGTCTCAGATCCCTCCGCACTCAGATCCCTCTGCACTCAGATCCCTATGCACTCAGATCCCTCCGCACTCAGATCCCTCCGCACTCAGATCCCTCCGCACTCAGATTCCTACGCACTCAGATCCCTCCGCACTCAGATCCCTCCGCACTCAAATCCCTATGCACTCAGATCCCTCCGCACTCAGATCCCTCTGCACTCAGATCCCTCCGCACTCAGATCCCTCCTCACTCAGATTCCTCCGCACTCAGATCCCTCCGCACTCAGATCCCTTCGCACTTAGATCCCTCCGCACTCAGATCCCTCCGCACTCAGATCCCTCCGCACTCAGATCCCTCCGCACTCAGATCCCTCCGCACTCAGATCCCTCCGCACTCAGATCCCTCCGCACTCAGATCCCTCCGCACTCAGATCCCTCCGCACTCGAATCCCTCTGCACTCAGATTCCTCCGCACTCAGATTCCGCCGCACTCAGATCCCTCCGCACTCAGATCCCTCCGCACTCAGATCCCTCCGCACTCAAATCCCCCTGCACTCAGATTCCTCCGCACTCAGATTCCTCCGCACTCAGATCCCTCTGCACTCAGATCCCTCCGCACTCAGATTCCTCCGCACTCAGAACCCTCTGCACTCAGATCCCTCCGCACTCAGATCCCTCCACACTCAGATCCCTCCACACTCAAATCCCTCCACACTCAGATCCCTCCACACTCAAATCCCTCCGCACTCAGATCCCTCCGCACTCAGATCCCTCTGCACTCAGATCCCTCTGCACTCAGATCCCTCTGCACTCAGATCTCTCTGCACTCAGATCCCTCCGCACTCAGATCCCTCCGCACTCAGATCCCTCCGCACTCAGATCCCTCCGCACTCAGATCCCTCCACACTCAGATCCCTCCGCACTCAGATCCCCCCGCACTCAGATCCCTCCACACTCAGATTCCTCCGCACTCAGATCCCTCTGCACTCAGATCCCTCCGCACTCAGATGCCTCCGCACTCAGATCCCTCTGCACTCAGATCCCTCTGCACTCAGATCCTTCTGCACTCAGATTCCTCCGCTCTCAGATCCCTCCACACTCAGATCCCTTCGCACTCAAATCCCTCCGCACTCAGATCCCTCTTCACTCAGATTCCTACGCACTCAGATCCCTCCGCACTCAGATCCCTCCACACTCAAATCCCTCTGCACTCAGATCCCTTCGCACTCAGATCCCTCTGCACTCAGATCCCTCCGAACTCAGATCCCTCTTCACTCAGATTCCTCCACACTCAGATCCCTCCGCACTCAGATCCCTCCGCACTCAGATCCCTCTGCACTCAGATCCCTCCGCACTCAAATCGCTCTGCACTCAGATCCATCCGCACTCAGATCCCTCTGCACTCAGATCCCTCCGCACTCAGATCTCTCTGCACTCAGATGCCTCCGCACTCAGATCCCTCCGCACTCAGATCCCTCTGCACTGAGATCCATCCGCACTCAGATCCCTCTGCACTCAGATCCCTCCGCACTCAGATCCCTCCGCACTCAGATTCCTCCGCACTCAGATCCCTCCGCACTCAGATCCCTCCGCACTCGGATCCCTCTGAACTCAGATCCCTCCGCACACAGATCCCTCCGCACTCAGATCCCTCTGCACACAGATCCACTCCGCACTCAGATCCCTCTGCACTCAGATCCCTCCGCACTCAGATCCCTCCACACTCAGATCCCTCCGCACTCAGATCCCTCTGCACTCAGATCCCTCTGCACTCAGATTCCTCCGCACTCAGATCCTTCTGCACTCAGATCCCTCTGCACTCAGATCCCTCTGCACTCAGATCCCTCCGCACTCAGATCCCTCCGCACTCAGATCCCTTGCACTCAGATCCCTCCGCACACACATCCCTCCGCACTCAGATCCCTCCGCACTCAGATCCCTCCGCACTCAGATCCCTCTGCACTCAGATCCCTCCGCACTCAGATCCCTCCGCACTCAGATCCCTCCGCACTCAGATCCCTCTGCACTCAGATCCCTCTGCACTCAGATTCTCCGCACTCAGATCCTCTGCACTCAGATCCCTCTGCACTCAGATTCCTCTGCACTCAGATTCCTCCGCACTCAGATCCCTCTGCACTCAGATCCCTCTGCACTCAGATCCGTCTGCACTCAGATCCCTTTGCACTCAGATTCCTCTGCACTCAGATTCCTCCGCACTCAGATCCCTCTGCACTCAGAATCCTCCGCACTCAGATCCCTCCGCACTCAGATCCCTCCGCACTCAGATTCCTCCGCACTCAGATCCCTCTGCACTCAGATCCCTCCGCACTCAGATCCCTCCGCACTCAGATCCCTCTGCACTCAGATCCCTCTGCACTCAGATCCCTCTGCACTCAGATTCCTCTGCACTAATATCCCTCTGCACTCAGATCCCTCTGCACTCAGATCCCTCCGCACTCAGATCTCTCTGCACTCAGATGCCTCCGCACTCAGATCCCTCCGCACTCAGATCCCTCCGCACTCAGATCCCTCCGCACTCAGATCCCTCGCACTCAGATCCCTCTGCACTCAGATCCCTCCGCACTCAGATCCCTCTGCACTCAGATCCCTCCGCACTCAGATCCCTCCGCACTCAGATTCCTCCGCACTCAGATCCCTCCGCACTCAGATCCCTCCGCACTCAGATCCCTCTGAACTCAGATCCCTCCGCACAGATACCTCCGCACTCAGATCCCTCTGCACACAGATCACTCCGCACTCAGATCCCTCTGCACTCAGATCCCTCCGCACTCAGATCCCTCCACACTCAGATCCCTCCGCACTCAGATCCCTCTGCACTCAGATCCCTCTGCACTCAGATTCCTCCGCACTCAGATCCCTCGCACTCAAATCCTCTGCACTCAGATTCCTCTGCACTCAGCTTCCTCCGCACTCAGATCCCTCCGCACTCAGATCCCTCCGCACTCAGATCCCTCCGCACTCAGATCCCTCCGCACTCAGATCCCTCTGAACTCCGATCCCTCTGCACTCAGATCCCTCTTTACTCAGATCCCTCCGCACTCAGATCCCTCCGCACTCAGATCCCTCTGCACTCAGATCTCTCTGCACTCAGATCCCTCTGCACTCAGATTCCTCCGCACACAGATCCCTCCGCACTCAGATCCCTCTTCACTCAGATCCCTCTGCACTCAGATCCCTCCGCACTCAGATCCCTCCGCACTCAGATCCCTCTGCACTCAGATTCCTCTGCACTCAGATCCCTCCGCACTCAGATTCCTCCGCACTCAGATCCCTCTGCACTCAGATCCCTCTGAACTCAAATCCCTCCGCAAACAGATCCCTCCGCACTCAGATCCCTTCGCACACAGATTCCTCCGCACTCAGATCCCTCTGCACTCAGATCCCTCTGCACTCAGATCCCTCTGCACTCAGATCCCTCCGCACTCAGATTCCTCTGCACTCAGATTCCTCCGCACTCAGATCCCTCTGCACTCAGATCCCTCCGCACTCAGATCCCTCCGCACTCAGATCCCTCCGCACTCAGATTCCTCCGCACTCAGATCCCTCTGCACTCAGATCCCTCCGCACTCAGATCCCTCCGCACTCAGATCCCTCCGCACTCAGATCCTCCGCACTCAGATCCCTCCGCACTCAGATCCCTTTGCACTCAGATCCCTCTGCACTCAGATCCCTCCGCACACAGATCCCTCCGCACTCAGATCCCTCTGCACTCAAATCCCTCCGCACTCAGATCCCTCTGCACTCAGATCCCTCCGCACTCAGATCCTTCCACACTTAGATCCCTCCGCACTCAGATCCCTCTGCACTCAGATCCCTCTGCACTCAGATTCCTCCGCACTCAGATCCCTCTGCACTCAGATCCCTCTGCACTCAGATTCCTCTGCACTCAGATTCCTCCGCACTCAGATCCCTCCGCACTCAGATCCCTCCGCACTCAGATCCCTCCGCACTCAGATTCCTCCGCACTCAGATCCCTCTGCACTCAGATCCCTCTCCACTCAGATCCCTCTGCACTCAGATCCCTCCGCACTCAGATCCCTCCGCACTCAGATCCCTCTGCACTCAGATCCCTCTGCACTCAGATCCCTCTGCACTCAGATCCCTCCACACTCAGATCCCTCCGCACTCAGATCCCTCCGCACTCAGATCCCTCCGCACTCAGATCCCTCCGCACTCAGATCCCTCTTCACTCAGATCCCTCCGCACTCAGATCCCTCCGCACTCAGATCCCTCCGCACTCAGATCCCTCTGCACTCAGATCCTCTGCACTCAGATCCTCCGCACTCAGATCCCTCCGCACTCAGATCCCTCCGCACTCAGATCCCTCTGCACTCAGATCCCTCTGCACTCAGATCCCTCCGCACTCAGATCCCTCCGCACTCAGATCCCTCCGCACTCAGATCCCTCCGCACTCAGATCCCTCTGCACTCAGATCCCTCCGCACTCAGATCCCTCCGCACTCAGATCCCTCCGCACTCAGATCCTCTGCACTCAGATCCCTCTGCACTCAGATCCTCTGCACTCAGATCCTCCGCACTCAAATCCCTCTGCACTCAGATCCCTCTGCACTCAGATCCCTCTGCACTCAGATCCCTCCGCACTCAGATCCCTCCGCACTCAGATCCCTCTGCACTCAGATCCCTCCGCACTCAGATCCCTCCGCACTCAGATCCCTCTGCACTCAGATCCCTCCGCACTCAGATCCCTCCGCACTCAGATCCCTCCGCACTCAGATCCCTCTGCACTCAGATCCCTCTGCACTCAGATCCCTCTTTACTCAGATCCCTCCGCACTCAGATCCCTCTGCACTCAGATCCCTCCACACTCAGATCCCTCCGCACTCAGATCCCTCCGCACTCAGATCCTTCTGCACTCAGATCCCTCTGCACTCAGATTCCTCCGCACTCAGATTCCTCCGCACTCAGATCCCTCCGCACTCAGATCCCTCCGCACTCAGATCCCTCCGCACTCAGATCCCTCTGCACTCAGATCCCTCCGCACTCAGATCCCTCCGCACTCAGATCCCTCTGCACTCAGATCCTCCGCACTCAGATCCCTCCGCACTCAGATCCCTCCGCACTCAGATCCCTCTGCACTCAGATCCCTCTGCACTCAGATCCCTCTGCACTCAGATCCCTCCGCACTCAGATCCCTCCGCACTCAGATCCCTCCGCACTCAGATCCCTCTGCACTCAGATCCCTCTGCACTCAGATCCTCCGCACTCAGATTCCTCCGCACTCAGATCCCTCCGCACTCAGATCCCTCCGCACTCAGATCCCTCTGCACTCAGATCCCTCCGCACACAGATCCCTCCGCACTCAGATCCCTCCGCACTCAGATCACTCCGCACTCAGATCCCTCCGCACTCAGATCCCTCCGCACTCAGATCCCTCCGCACTCAGATCCCTCCGCACTCAGATCCCTCTGCACTCAGATCCCTCTGCACTCAGATTCCTCTGCACTCAGATTCCTCCGCACTCAGATCCCTCCGCACTCAGATCCCTCTGCACTCAGATCCCTCTGCACTCAGATCCCTCTGCACTCAGATCCCTCTGCACTCAGATCCCTCCGCACTCAGATCCTCCGCACTCAGATCCCTCCGCACTCAGATCCCTCTGCACTCAGATCCCTCTGCACTCAGATCCTCCGCACTCAGATTCCTCCGCACTCAGATCCCTCCGCACTCAGATCCCTCCGCACTCAGATCCCTCTGCACTCAGATCCCTCCGCACTCAGATCCCTCCGCACTCAGATCCCTCCGCACTCAGATCCCTCCGCACTCAGATCCCTCCGCACTCAGATCCCTCCGCACTCAGATCCCTCCGCACTCAGATCCCTCCGCACTCAGATCCCTCTGCACTCAGATCCCCTGCACTCAGATCCTCTGCACTCAGATTCCTCCGCACTCAGATCCCTCCGCACTCAGATCCCGCACTCAGATCCCTCTGCACTCAGATCCCTCTGCACTCAGATCCCTCCGCACTCAGATCCTCTGCACTCAGATCCTCCGCACTCAGATCCCTCGCACTCAGATCCTCCGCACTCAGATCCCTCCGCACTCAGATCCCTCCGCACTCAGATTCCTCCGCACTCAGATCCCTCGCACTCAGATCCCTCCGCACTCAGATCCCTCCGCACTCAGATCCCTCCGCACTCAGATCCTCCGCACTCAGATCCCTCCGCACTCAGATCCCTCCGCACTCAGATCCCTCTGCACTCAGATCCCTCCGCACTCAGATCCCTCCGCACTCAGATCCCTCTGCACTCAGATCCCTCCGCACTCAGATCCCTCTGCACTCAGATCCCTCCGCACTCAGATCCCTCCGCACTCAGATCCTCCGCACTCAGATCCCTCTGCACTCAGATCCCTCTGCACTCAGATCCTCCGCACTCAGATCCCTGCACTCAGATCCCTCTGCACTCAGATCCTCTGCACTCAGATTCCTCTGCACTCAGATCCCTCCGCACTCAGATCCCTCCGCACTCAGATCCCTCTGCACTCAGATAACCCCCGCACTCAGATCCCTCTGCACTCAGATCCCTCTCCACTCAGATCCCTCTGCACTCAGATCCCTCCGCACTCAGATCCCTCCGCACTCAGATCCCTCTGCACTCAGATCCCTCTGCACTCAGATCCCTCTGCACTCAGATTCCCGCACACAGATCCCTCCGCACTCAGATCCCTCCGCACTCAGATCCCTCCGCACTCAGATCCCTCGCACTCAGATCCCTCTGCACTCAGATCCCTCCGCACTCAGATCCCTCCGCACTCAGATCCCTCTGCACTCAGATCCCTCTGCACTCAGATTCCTCCGCACTCAGATCCCTCCGCACTCAGATCCCTCCGCACTCAGATCCCTCTGCACTCAGATCCTCTGCACTCAGATCCCTCCGCACTCAGATCCCTCCGCACTCAGATCCCTCCGCACTCAGATCCCTTGCACTCAGATCCCTCTGCACTCAGATCCCTCCGCACTCAGATCCCTCCGCACTCAGATTCCTCCGCACTCAGATCCCTCCGCACTCAGATCCCTCCGCACTCAGATCCCTCTGCACTCAGATCCCTCCGCACTCAGATCCCTCCGCACTCAGATCCCTCCGCACACAGATCCCTCCGCACTCAGATCCCTCTGCACTCA